TGACATCACTAAGGGCCACCAGGCTGCTCCGCCATGACGACAGGGTGGGGAGGCAAGACCATGTCACAGGACCAGAAGATTCCAACACCCAACACCCAACATTCTAGAATCCGCGGGCGGTTGGAATTCTACCTCAGCCCAATCCTGCACAAGCTGCCACGCGGTTGTCATGACCACAGCGCAGGACCCAGCGCTTGCTCCTGTGCAGCCTCGTAATGCTGGCCTCAGGCCGTCCCTGGATCTGAGGGCTTTGTGGAAGGGGATATGTTTCAAATTGCACCGACGTTTTCAGACCATTTCTCTTTCGGCATGGTCCCAGCACCTGGCATGCTGATCATCATCCTGAATATACATTTTGTCAAAGTTCTACAACCAATGAAATAGTTCCTTACCAAACGCAATCTGATCACTCTTCTGGCCATATTTTGTTCCAGCTACCGCTTCCTGCGGGTGGCACCAATAGCGCTGCATCACCTATAGCTCTCTGCTCTTACAGTTCTCATGCTGTCTGGGCAGTCCTCGTGGCCTCACAACTCTCTCATGCCACACGTGCCACATTCTGAGGCACAGAATATATATTGCACTACTTCAAACGCCTTTTTTTTTTTAATATAATGATACTAGGGATAATCATCTGGAGCTAGAGCAATATGAAAAAATTCCCTTTAGTTCAACCATAAGTCTGCCCCATGGACTCCAGAAGAGCTCTAAGAATACGCAGGATGGACATGGATGGCAGCTGCCATAACAGTAAGCAATGAAAAATGAGGTTGTGAGCCACGCTGTGTCATTGCATCTGCGGGCAGGGATTTCTCCTTGGACTGAGCAGAGTGCAGATGTCACCTGAGAAAAGAACTTAGGATCATTCAGGAAAAGCAAATGAGTTGAGTAATTAATTGAAGAAACTCACGTTCTAAAGGTACTTAGAAGGAGAGAGTATTTCCCAACAGAATGGGTTTAACTGTCCATTCCCTGTTTTGTTAGACAGGTCTACTCTATAGATGCTTAGACTGACCTGAGAGGGCATGCTTCAGCACACCCCACACCACTGCATTAGAGTGTGCTTTTGTGCACACGTGGATCTAGAGACATCGCTAACAATTTAATTGGTCCACCCAATCCTTAAGCAACTCAGTAATTCAAGATACCTAACAAGGATGGAGGCTCACTGGGCCATAGGCAAAGCAGGGAGGACAGAGGCAGGAAGCAGGAAGGAGTTCAACTCCAGCTCTCCCCCACAAGAGACTGCGAGAGCTGAGTCAGCACCACAGGAGGAGTTACGACACGGCTTGGGAGCTTACAGAGAGGCCTGAGATTGCCAAAGGACGGCGCCAGGGTAACTCTCACCAGTCCTGTGCAGGGGTTTCATGGATGCTTGGGATGCTGACTTCCACTGCCTGTGTCATTGGTACGAAGTCCAGGTGACAAAGGCTCCTTCTGTCTGGGTAACGCTTCTGTGGTTCCATGGTTATGACTGGAAAAAAATTAAAAATTAAAATTAAAAAAAAAAAAAAAAATAGCATGCAACGTTATAAAATTTACCTCTCTGCTCTTCTTGTCAGCACGACATCTAAGATGAGCATTACACGTCCCTGCATCTGATTGAAAAGACATCCAAGCCTATGTTCCACACAGCTTCATCTCAGCGCCAAGAAGAAACACACACACAGACGTTTACAAGATTCTTTGCACAGATGAAAAGCATGGGGTGCACGTGTATTCTCTTCAGTAATAAATGGTAATGTAGAATCCAAAGGTAACTTTTCAAGAACTAGATGACAATGAAAAGGAAATATGGGATTAACTATTTTCATCTAAAAAAATCCTTGCTAAACCTCTCCCCTTACACCTTACACTGCAAAACTTGGCACATTCTTTTTGTCCACAGGCCCCTCATTTCTCTAACTGGTGTCAGATTCACTCAAAATACATGCACCAGAACGGCCATTCAGTCCTGCTGAGGTAGGAACCCACTGCTGGGATGTCCCCCAGTCCCATTCCCTGCTATTTCCAGCATCGGGGGGGGGAAAGGAAGAGCAACTGACTTCACCTACCCAGGCTTCTGCGAGGCCTTCGATACGGCCACACATCACAGGGAGAAGCATGGGGGAGAGCTCTGGTGGCTGCACAAACCAAGGTTGCCCCTACGATGGTGCTTTATAACAACATGCCTTACTGCACATGAGACACGAAAGACAAGGTTAAGGTTAAAAAGACTCCACTCTCCGTGGATGTGGCTGTCTGCACAGACAACAGCTGCCTACTGTCCAGCAGCCTGATGCTCACCCACCAAAGCTCTCACCAGCAGATGCCTTTCATGGAATCATAAAATTAGCAAGGTTGGAAAAGATCTCTAAGATCATCCAGTCCAACTGTCCACCTGCCACCACCATTTCCCACTAAGCCCCTTATGTCCCTCAGGACAACATCTAATGTTTCTTGAACACCTGCAGGGACAGTAACTCTATCACCAACCTGGGCAGCCCGTTCCAGCATCGGACCACTCCTGTGGAGAAGTGTTTCTTAACATCCAGCCTCAATCTCCCCTCGTGCAACTTGAGGCCGTTCCCCCCAGTCCTATCGCTGCTTACATGGGAGAAGAGGATGAGCCCTACCTCGACATGACCTCTCTTCAGCTAACTGTAGAGAGGGATAAGGTCTGCCCTGAGCCTCCTCTTCCCCAGACTAAATAATCCCCATTCCCTCAGCTGCCTCCCCATAACACTTGTGCTCTACACTCCTCACAGCTTCACTGCTCTTCTCTGGACACATTTCAGGGTTCCAATGTCTTTCATGTAGTGAGGGACCCAGAACTGAACACAGCACTCAAGGTGAGGGCTCACCAGAGCTGAGTACAGGGGATGATCGCATCCCTGCTCCTGCTGGCTCCAGCCCTTTGCACTGCACTTCCAATCTCAACCATCCCTTCTGCGGTAGCGCTTGCATCCTCACTTAGGGCTGGAGCTCAAGAGCTCAACGCAACAGGAAGAACACAGCGTGCAACTGGAAGATGCATCTCAAAGCTGACAAGAGTCACCTCTCTGACCTTGGGCACAACTCACCAACCGAGAGCCAGGCCTTGCAAACTTGGCTCATCTGAGCACATCAGAGGGGGCTGCACATCAGACCACAAGCATCCATTGCAATTGCAGCTCCACGTAGAGAAGAACAACGATTAACATGCGTGAATGAATTCACTCACAAGCTGCACAAATTTGTTCTTCATTAAAAAACCCACATGGATTCCTACGCAAAAAAAGAACAGCAAGAGCTAATAGTGATGGAAGAGGTTCCTGGTCCTAAGCCTCATCCTCTTACCCCAGTTTTCCTTGCCTCGTACCCTACCCCAATTCCTGGACGATGCCCACAGACTTAAACTCAGACCTCAACTCCATGAGCTGAACATGAACAAATCTACCCCAGAGCAACAGGATGGCAGACACACAGAGGAAGACAACCAACCTGCAGAAGGAGCTCCGTTGGGGTTGGTCCAGATGTTTGTATGCTGCCTTCCTGGCCCAGGCCAAGCTTGCTGAGTTGCTCCTCCTTTGTGCAGGGGGAGAGCGGTGCAGATGCTATGTGCTGGCTGTGCACAGTGTGCCTTTGACTCGATTTTCCTCTCTCCATCTTCCATTAGCAAACAGCATTTCAAATCTTTCCTTGTGAAAAAATCACCTAGGTAAAAAAGAATTGGCAATCTTGATTTTAAGATTTCCTCATTTATACAACTTGATGTTTTAAAGCAGAAGCTCACCTAGCAGTGACCTACCTTAGACAAGCCCAACCTGCAGGGAAAAGTCATTCCTCTGGGTGCAGAGTCTGCAGACACATTTCCAGGTCCAAGTGTCAGCCCACTTCTCAGCACAGCTTTACCAACCACAGAAATCCAGTTTACGCCTGCCATGCTTTTCTCCCTTCTGAAACACTGCATCGCTGCAAGAAGCAAAGATTAAAATCACAGAACCACAGAATTGGGGTTGCAGGGGACCCCCAGTGATCATTGAGTCTAAAGTCCCTGCAAAACGGGCTCCCTACAGCAGGCTGCACAGGTGGGTGTCCAGGCAGGTCTGGAATATCTCCAGACAAGGAGAAGCCACAGCCTCCCTGGGCAGCCTGTTCCAGCGCTCCATCATCCTCGCCGTGAAGAAGATCCTTTGCATTTTGGTGCAGAACTTCCTGTGCTCCAGTTTGTGGCCATTTCCCCTTCTCCTGTCCCCACAGATCGCTGACAAGAGGTTGGCTGTGTCCTTTGGACTCCCACACTTAATAAATATCTAAGCATTAATCAGATCTGCTCTCAGTCTTCTTTCCTCAAGGCTGAACAGACCCAGGTCCCCCAGCCTTTCCATACCGAGGAGATGCTCCAAGCCCTTTATCATCTTCCTGGCCTTCTGTTGGACTCTCTCCAGGAGATCCTTGTCATTTCTGTACCAGGAAGGGAGCCCAGAACTGCATGCAGTACTGCAGGTGAGGCCTGACCAGGGCAGAGCAGAGAGCGGGGATCACCTCCCTTGCTCAGCTGGCCGCGCTCCTTTTAAAGCGCCCCAGGATGCCATTGGTCTTCTTGGCCAGCAGGGCACACTGCTGACTCACGGCCAATCTGTTGTCCACCAGCACCCCCAGGTCCTTCTCTGCAGAGCTCCTCTCCAGCCGGTCACATCCTAAGCTTACTGATATTTGCAGTTATTCCTTCCCAGGTGCAAGACTCTACACTTGCTTTTGTTCCACCTCACCTGGTTTGTTTCTGCCCAGCTCTTCATCCTGTCCAGATCTTGCTGAATGGCAGCACAGCCTTTCAGCGTGCCAACCACTTCTCTCCCAGCTTTATCTCATCAGTACACTTGCTAAGGGTGAACATATCCCCTCATCAAGGTCATTGACAAAGATATTGAACAAGACCTTGAGAGAAACACTCACAGTCACCAGTTTCAGCTTAGGCAAGGATCTTAGTGATAGCAGCAAAGTTTATTCCTTATTGCAATAACAGGCACACACTCCCTGTTAATAAGGGAAAAATTGCACATCGGTCAGAGAAATTCATTCTGTTCTGTACTCTGAACCCGACGCAGGCAATGCTCTCCTGGCACTCACTGGTTGAGCGTCTAGGCTCACAATCTCCCCGACGCTGTTGCTATGATGTAGTTCCATATAAGGTCCATTACCAACCTGCTCTTTTTGGTATGTTTTGTACTTCTCTATGGAGATACGAGGGCCATATTTCCAAGAGTGAGCACATTTGTTCTGTCCTGTGCCGAGCTCCCTCTCTCTCACCACCCTGCATATTTGCCTTATTTTGTGCCTGGCTCAATTCCACCCCAATCAGAACACCCCGAATCTTTAACTTTTTAACTCTGCTCAGCAACTTCCTTAGTAGAAGGCAAACAGCTCTTTCACAAGAGGGCTGTAAGTTCAGTAAAGCCAGTACTACATACAGAAAATACTCAAAGCTTCTACAGCACAAACACAATCTACCTTTCACAACCAGACCCAGCACCAACCCCCGGGAGCACCGCCGCTCACAGCTCTCCAGCTGCACTCTGTGCTGCCGATCACCACCACTGAGCTCAGCCAGTAAACCTGTTCTCAGCCCACCTCATCATCCACTCCTCTATCCCACACTTTCTCAGCTTCATTACCAGGATGTTGTGGGAGACTGTAACAAAACATTGCTGAAGTCAAGGTAGGCGACATCCACTGCAGTACCTGAAATAGTCCCTCCCACTCAGGCTGAAGCCTTGATTTCTGCCAGGCGCGTATTAGGACCAGTCTCCAACACGGGATGAGTGCACTGGAAATTCCAGAGGTGGAGTTTGAGCCAACGGTCCACATCCCTTAAGGAATAACAGAGCAGCAGACAACCCGAGTACACAGTTCTGGAGAAACTTACCCTCGGTTTCAAGAGCGGGCATCTCACCCCTCCCTCCCAAGTACGGCCACCCAAACAGCACTTCGTGTGGTGATACTCCTAAGCCTTTTCTGTGAGTGGTTCGTGTTCTGACAAGGGCTACAGGCAAACACTTTGTCCATGGTAATTTGGTCTCTGAAACCAATTTTGACAAGTGCTTCTTCAGCATCTGATTGATTCATTCTAATTTCCCTGAAGAAGGAGGATGCCACAGAGTATGGAGCTCCCACTCTATTTCTAAAGTTCTCATCAGCTCCTGTAGGACTTGTGAAGTAAAGAGGCTTCCCTTACCTGAGTCCATATTCTGCACAATTCCACATCTAGAGATTGTGTCGGGATGTAGAGTCCTCAGTGCAAAAGAGACATGGATCTGTTGGATCACATCAGAGGATGGCCACAAAAAAAAAACAGAACCAAGGGATCAAACAGCTCTCCTCCAAAGACAGGCTGAGAGAGCTGGGGCTGTTCAGCCCGGAGAAGCGAAGGCTCCGAGGTGACCTGGTAACAGCCTTTTGATACCTAAAGGGAGCTAAAGGAAAGAAGAAGGGAAAACTTAGGTTAGATGTAAGGAAAATGTCTTTTTACAGCAAGGGACAAAGGGAAATGGTTTTAAATTGATGGAGGGGAGATTGAGGTTGGATGTCAGGGGGAAGTTCTGTGCTGTGAGAGCGGTGAGGTGCTGGAACAGCTGCCCAGAGAGGCTGTGATGCCCCGTCCATCCCTGGAGGTGTTCAAGGCCAGGTTGGATGGGGCCCTGGGCAGCCTGGGCTGCTGTGAAACAGGGAGGTTGGTGGCCCTGCGTTGGCGGGGGGCTGGAGACTCGTGGGCCTCGAGGTCCCTTCCAACCCAGGACATTCTGTGATTCTGGGCAGTGGAACAGGCTGCCCAGAGAGGCGGTGGATGCCCTGTCCCTTCCAAGGTGAGGCGGGATCAGGCCCTGGGCAGCCCGATCGAGCTGTGGATGTCCCTGTTCCTTGTGGGAAGTCAGACTAGATCATCACAAACAGTCCCTTCCGACTCTAAGGAGTCTATGGCATGATACCCGAAGCCGTGAGGCACGACGACACAAAGGACATCGATGGCCTGGTGAGCAATCAGGGCAGGCGGGGAAGCCTGCGTGCTCAACAGCACCAGGGAAACTCACCAAGCAGTCCAACCAGGAAGATCCACGTCGGCCACAGAGCCTCTCAGTGCCGGCCCCAGCATTCAGCACACCAGAGGTATTGCTGCATCGCACTGCTGGGTGCCACGGCTGCAGGGGGGCAGGGATGGAAGGAAGAGGGCTGGGGAGGTTGGGTGGCGTCCAGACTGGGAAACTGACAGCATCCCCTGACGGCTGGAATGGAGATACCTGCGGTGATCCAGGCACAGCGCTCCAGCAGAGGACGGCCCTTTGTTTCCTATCAAGACAAAGCCACATCTGCCAGCACGACTGAAAGAGCCCTGAGAGCCTGGGGGGGTCGGCCACAAGGCGCTCGCAGAGCCGAGCCCTGACACCTTTGCTGCCAACCAATTCCTAAGGGAGATCTGGGAGAGAACCAGGCCAAGCAGGAACTGAATCCTTGTGCTCAGTATTCTCGAGCAGCGCAGAGCGGACGGCGCTGGGTGAGGATGAAGCAAACGGCCGCTGGGGCCCGGGGGTTTCCTGCAGCTCAGCTCCCAGCCGCAACCACGCACCTCGCTCTATCGCCAGCCACGGAGCTCATTGGGCTGCAAGGACAAAGGGCAGGGAGCAGGGCGAGCCCTGGGGACCAACCCCCATTGCATCTCCAAGGGAGCTGCCCACAGCCGGCCCAAAACCCACCCGCATACAAGTAACGTGTAAACAAGGGGTTCCTGCCACTCCAGCGTCCACCCCACAGATTGCATAGCGCTGCAACCACTAACCAGAGGAGCCCCAGAAACCCTTCGACCCCATTGAGCCGCAAAACAGAAGGAGATCCAACGAGACGCGGAACGGAATTGAAATGCGTGCCCTCAAACAACACTCAGCACGGGTGGAATGAATGCGTGGCACAGGAGGCGCAGAGGGGACACGGGCAGAGGACACAGGGAGGACGCGAGGACACAGAGGGAACGTGTCATAAAATGGGCTGCGGCAACGTGGGAGCAGACGGAGTGAGTTTGGAGGCCCATGTTGGAGATCCCACAATGAGAATCACGAAAGAGGGAACAGAGACGTCACAAGAAGGTGTTGAGCTTAGAAAGAGTTGCAGAGGAACTCTGCAGAACACAGAACCCCTTTACAGAACAGTGCATCAGCTCCAGGCATTTCTGGAGTCCCAACGCTCAGTCACCCAACCAGCGTCACCTTGGGGCTGACTGAAGCATTCCCAAAACAGATGAGAGCAAAAGAAAGGAACGTCCATCAGTCCCTCCGTTACCAGTTCAGAGAAAGGCAGAGAAACCCCTTGACTGCCCTCAGAGAACAAGCGGAAGGCATCAGAAGCAGAGCTGACGGAGCTACTGTAAACCAGCTTACAATCCCCACAGAAAGGCAGAGACCAAAACCCCAACAGCCATCAAGAAAGAATCGCTGACCTCTTCCCACGAACCAGAGCTCACCCAGCAATCCACAGGAGGCATCTCCAGGAAGAAACCCTGCCTGTGGGGCTGCCAGCCCTTAAGATGATATGAGGGAGGGGTGGAGCCAGGCTCAGCCCCATCTGCCCCACGGCTGCATTGCTTCCACCTGTGCAGGCAGGGCTGCACCCCTCACCAGGTGCTCCATCACTGCTTCAGGCTGTGATCTCAAAGTTCCCCTAAAAGCAGGAAGGAAAAAATGAAGTAAAAAAAACAAAGTAATGACCGGCAGCCAATTGGGTCTGCCTGTGTGGCAAGGGGAGGTTTATCCACGGACGAGCGAGGACGGTCCACGTACTTTGCTTCCAGTCTGTCCTCCATGGCAATTGCTGACATTCGTAATAAATAGGGGAGCACAGATTTCAGTGCTGATACAGCGAGGTGCTGAGAAGCTGCACGTGCAGCACAAGGGCTGAGATGAGCGGCGTCAATGGAGCGAGTGCTGGCTGCCCAGCTGCCAGGCTCAGCTTACGGCTCCCCAGGGAGAAACGCACGTCATCTCCTCACACAGCAATTAAAGGCCGCTGTGACATTATTGGAGGGTTTGGTGTCCTCAGGGGGTGAAACTGGCAACTGCCTGTATGGCAGCGTGTGGCCTTTTGGCTCCAACAGCAATCCAAACCCCACAGAAACAGAGAGGGACCCAGAAAGACCCTCAGTGACCTGGGAGCCACAAGGGCCCCACAGGTGGCACCGCAGGGACCCACAAAGGACACCACGGGTACCCACAAATGCCACACAGGTGGCACTGCAGGGACCCACAAATGACCCACAGCAGCCTGTGACCCACAAGTGACCCACAGGGACCCACAAGTGCCTCGCAAGGGACAAACAACTGAACCACAAGTGCCCCATAAGTCCCCCATAATTGACCCATCAGCGTCCCATAAGTGCCCCACGAGTGTGCTGTCACCAACAACTGCCCCCTAGTGCCCCACAAGTGACTCACAAGTGGCACAGCATGGACCCACAAGTGAGACACACGGCCCCAGAAGTGCCCCACAGCAGCCTGGGACCGTTAACTGGCAAAGGGACCAGGAATTGACCCATAAGTACCCCCACAAGCGGGGCAGCAGGGACCCACAAATGACTGATAGCAGCCTGGGCCCCAAAAGTGACACATCGGCGCCCCACAAACGACGCATAAGCGACCCACAGGTCCCACATCTGCTCCCACGGCTGCCTTGCTTCCACCTGTGCTCACAGGGCTGCACCCTTCACAAGCTGCTCCAGCACTGCTTCACATGCACTCCCCATACAACTCGCCCACCACCCCATTTTGGAGGCACCGACCCCCACCCCGCTGTCACAGCCGTGCGCCGAGGGCACCATCACCCCACCGCGCACGGCCATCAGCTCCTCCCAGCACTCCACGCGCCCCACGGGCAGCCCCCAATGCGCCGAACTGCCGCCGCCTACCACCGAATCCCGGCATCGATCCGGCAGGAAAGTTCTTGCCGTGGTCTCTGCTGCCACCGCGTGGCCAACGCGCGGAACTGCCGCTGCCTGCCGCCGAGTCCCGCCAGCGGCAAAACACATGCGCCCAGAAATGCGGAAGTGCCGATCTAACCGCTCTGCGCAGCTCATCCGCCGCTCTCTATGGTGATTAGTCCTCCGGCTAACAGCGAATATACGCCCGTCACCTTCAAAACAGCAGCTGTCTCGAAAAACCACTACGGCTACGGGCAAGCAGCCGATTCCGGGCCGCCGGCTCAGCGATAGATTCTCCCCCGCTAATCCAGGATGCCCCTCGTCTATTTCCGCCGTTTGATGCCCGAGCCCACCCGGGAACGGAAACGGACCGGTTCGGCTCACAGCTGCCCCTCAGCGCCTCGTGGCATCCAACTCGCTCGCCTCCCGCTGAACCAGCAAACGTCCCCTTCCAACCCTAGCCCTGCACCGTCCCCCAGCCGTTTAAAAGCCCCCGCAGCAGCAGTGCAACGCTGCTCCGAGCTGCTCGGAACGGCTCGGAAGGACTCGGAGCGGCGCGAAAGCGGCTCGGAGCGGCTCGGAGCTTTTCCGAGGGGCTCGGAACGACTCGCAGCAGCTCGGAGCTCCTCGGAAGGACTCGGAGCAGCTCGGAAGGACTCGGAGCCGCTCGGAGCGGCGCGAAAGCTGCTCGGAGCTTCTCCGAGAGGCTCGGAGCTCCTCGGACTGGCTCGGAGAGGCTCGGAGGGGCTCGGAGCTGCTTGGAGCAATTCGCAGTGGCTCGGAGCTGCTCGGAAGGGCTCGGAGAGACTCGGAGCGGCTTGGAGTTGCTCGGAGGGGCTCGGAGCGACTCGCAGAGGCTCGGAGATTCTCGATCGCGTTACCGGTGTGCAGCAGCACCGACACGAGCATGTCTCGGGAAAGCAATAAATCTGAGCAAATCCGGGCTCTGTATTGCGCTATATATACGCGCCGGTTTCTGCCACGCGAGGCGCATACGCCAGCCGCGGAACGGTAGTACGCATGCGCCAGCTCAGCACCGAGCACCGAACAGCGTATGCGGCTTCTTGGCACAGCACTGCGCATGCGTCGGTCATTGCGTGCAGCCCGCATGCGCCGACTTCATGCAGGCAGAACCCATGCGCCTTCCTGGACATCGCACTGCGCATGCGTCAGTTTCCTCACCGCAGAGCGCATGGGCAATTCTCCTCGCTGCAGCGCGCATGCAGAAAGCCCAGACAGGACTCTTTCGTGCAAAATTCACATCTGCTTTTCCATGCGCGTTGTTGGGCACGGATTGGTTACGCGGGGACATAAGAGACAGCGGAAAAAAGTTGGACGCAGTTCCGCATACTGGCCACACAGGGGCAGCGCAGAGAGAGGAAAACACTTCGCTGCAGTTCCGCATATCGGCCACACGGGGGAAGCAGAGACGGCGGAAAGCACTTCACTGCAGTTCCAAATATCGGCCACACGAGGGCTAAACAGAGAGAGGAAAAAACTTCGTTGCAGTTCCGCATATCGGCCACAGGAGGGCAGCACAGAGAGCGGAAAACACTTCGTAACGCTGCACTGCGCATGTGCCAACTTGATCGCTGCACTGCGCGTGCGCCTCCCTTCATGCAGTAAGACGCATGCGCCACTCTCGCAGCGGCACTGCGCATGCGCTTGTCCAAACGCGTGCGCAGTCGTTTCGCAGCGCACTGCGCACGCGCCATTCCCGGCGAAGCACTGCGCATGCGTTTACTGCCGAGTTCGCACGGCGCATGCGCCAGTTTCACCGCATTGCGCATGTGCCAACTTTGTCGCTGCACTGCGCGTGCGCCTCCCTTCATGCATCACGGCGCATGCGCCGCTCTCGCAGCAGCACTGCGCATGCGCAAGATCCGACGCAAGCGCAGTCGATTCGCAGCGCACTGCGCACGCGCCCTTCCCGGCGCTGCACTGCGCATGCGTTTTCGTCCGAATTCCCAAGGCGCATGGGCCAGTTTCACCGCACTGCGCATGTGCCAACTTTGTCGCTGCACTGCGCGTGCGCCTCCCTTCATATAGTACGGCGCATGCGCCGCTCTCGCAGCGGCACTGCTCATGCGCTCGTCCAGACGAACGCGCAGTCGATTCGCAGCGCACTGCGCACGTGCCAGTCCCGTTGCAGTTCCGCATATCGGCCACACGGCGGTAGCAGAGACCGCGGAGAACACTTCGTTGCAGTTCCACATATCGGCCACACGGGGGCAGCCCAAGGAGCGGAAAAACCTTCGTTGCAGTTCCGCATATCGGCCACACGAGGGCAGCACTGAGACGGCGGAAAAAACTTCGTTGCTGTTCCGCATATCGGCCACACGAGGGCAGCACTGAGACGGCGGGAAAAATTTCGTTGCAGTTCCGCATATCGGCCACACGAGGGCAGCACTGAGACGGCGGAAAAAAATTCGTTGCAGTTCCGCATATCGGCCACACAGGGGCAGCGCAGACAGCGGAAAAAACTTCGTTGTAGTTCCGCATATCGGCCACACGGGGGCAGCACTGAGACGGCGGAAAAAATTTCGTTGCTGTTCCGCATATCGGCCACACGGGGGCAGCGCAGAGAAGAGAAAAAAATTCGTTGCAGTTCCGCATATCGGCCACACGGGGGCAGCACTGAGACGGCGGGAAAAAACTTCGTTGCAGTTCCGCATATCGGCCACACGAGGGCAGCACTGAGACGGCGGGAAAAATTTCGTTGCGGTTCCGCATATCGGCCACAAGGGGGCAGCACTGAGACGGCGGAAAAGACTTCGTTGCAGTTCCGCATATCGGCCACACCAGGGCAGCACTGAGACGGCGGGAAAAATTTCGTTGCAGTTCCGCATATCAGCCACACGAGGGCAGCACGGAGATGGCGGAAAAAACTTCGTTGCTGTTCCGCATATCGGCCACACGAGGGCAGCCCAGACAGCGGAAAAAACTTCGTTGCAGTTCCGCATATCGGCCACACGAGGGCAGCACGGAGACGGCGGAAAAAACTTCGTTGCAGTTCTGCATATCGGCCACAAGGGCGCAGCACGGAGACGGCGGAAAAAACTTCGTTGCAGTTCCGCATATCGGCCACACGAGGGCAGCACGGAGACGGCGGAAAAAACTTCGTTGCTGTTCTGCATATCGGCCACAAGGGCGCAGCACGGAGACGGCGGAAAAAACTTCGTTGCAGTTCCGCATATCGGCCACACGAGGGCAGCACTGAGACGGCGGAAAAAACTTCGTTGCAGTTCCGCATATCGGCCACACGAGGGCAGCACTGAGACGGCGGAAAAAACTTCGTTGCAGTTCTGCATATCGGCCACACGAGGGCAGCACTGAGACGGCGGAAAAAACTTCGTTGCAGTTCCGCATATCGGCCACACGAGGGCAGCCCAGACAGCGGAAAAAACTTCGTTGCAGTTCCGCATATCGGCCAGAAAGGGGCAGCACGGAGACGGCGGAAAAAACTTCGTTGCAGTTCCGCATATCGGCCACACGAGGGCAGCACTGAGACGGCGGAAAAAACTTCGTTGCAGTTCTGCATATCGGCCACACGAGGGCAGCACTGAGACGGCGGAAAAAACTTCGTTGCAGTTCCGCATATCGGCCACACGAGGGCAGCCCAGACAGCGGAAAAAACTTCGTTGCAGTTCCGCATATCGGCCAGAAAGGGGCAGCACGGAGACGGCGGAAAAAACTTCGTTGCAGTTCCGCATATCGGCCACACGAGGGCAGCACTGAGACGGCGGAAAAAACTTCGTTGCAGTTCTGCATATCGGCCACACGGGGGCAGCCCAGACAGCGGAAAAAACTTCGTTGCAGTTCTGCATATCGGCCACAAGGGGGCAGCACGTAGACGGCGGAAAAAACTTCGTTGCAGTTCCGCATATGGGCCACACGAGGGCAGCACTGAGACGGCGGGAAAAATTTCGTTGCTGTTCCGCATATCGGCCACACGGGGGAAGCACTGAGACGGCGGAAAAAACTTCGTTGCAGTTCCGCATATCGGCCACACGAGGGCAGCACTGAGACGGCGCAAAAAATTTCGTTGCTGTTCCGCATATCGGCCACACAGGGGCAGCGCAGAGAGCAGAAAAAACTTCGTTGCAGTTCTGCATATCGACCACACGAGGTCAGCACTGAGACGGCGGAAAAAATTTCGTTGCAGTTCCGCATATCGGCCACACGAGGGCAGCACTGAGACGGCGGAAAAAACTTCGTTGCTGTTCCGCATATCGGCCACACGGGGGCAGCGCAGAGAACAGAAAAAAATTCGTTGCAGTTCCGCATATCGGCCACACGGGGGCAGCACTGAGACGGCGGGAAAAAACTTCGTTGCAGTTCTGCATATCGGCCACACGAGGGCAGCACTGAGACGGCGGGAAAAATTTCGTTGCAGTTCCGCATATCGGCCACAAGGGGGCAGCACGGAGACGACGGAAAAGACTCCGTTGCAGTTCCGCATATCGGCCACACGAGGGCAGCACTGAGACGGCGGAAAAAATTTCGTTGCAGTTCCGCATATCGGCCACACGGGGGTAGCGCAGAGAGCAGAAAAAAATTCGTTGCAGTTCCGCATATCGGCCATACGAGGGCAGCACGGAGACGGCGGAAAAAATTTCGTTGCTTTTACGCATATCGGCCACACGGGGGCAGCACGGAGACGGCGGAAAAAACTTCGTTGCAGTTCCGCATATCGGCCACACGAGGGCAGCACGGAGACGGCGGAAAAAACTTCGTTGCAGTTCCGCATATCGGCCACACGAGGGCAGCACTGAGACGGCGGAAAAAACTTCGTTGCAGTTCCGCATATCGGCCACACGAGGGCAGCACGGAGACGGCGGAAAAAACTTCGTTGCAGTTCCGCATATCGGCCACACGAGGGCAGCACGGAGACGGCGGAAAAAACTTCGTTGCAGTTCTGCATATCGGCCACACGAGGGCAGCACGGAGACGGCGGGAAAAATTTCGTTGCTGTTCCGCATATCGGCCACACGAGGGCAGCACTGAGACGGCGGAAAAAAATTCGTTGCAGTTCCGCATATCGGCCACACAGGGGCAGCGCAGACAGCGGAAAAAACTTCGTTGCAGTTCCGCATAGCGGCCGCACGAGGGCAGCACGGAGACGGCGAAAAAAACTTCGTTGCAGTTCTGCATATCGGCCACACGAGGGCAGCACTGAGACGGCGGAAAAAATTTCGTTGCTGTTCCGCATATCGGCCACACAGGGGCAGCGCAGAGAGCAGAAAAAATTTCGTTGCTGTTCCGCATATCGGCCGCACGAGGGCAGCACGGAGACGGCGGAAAAAACTTCGTTGTAGTTCCGCATATCGGCCACACGGGGGCAGCACTGAGACGGCAGAAAAGACTTCGTTGCTGTTCCGCATATCGGCCACACGAGGGCAGCACTGAGACGGCGGAAAAAATTTCGTTGCTGTTCCGCATATCGGCCACACGGGGGCAGCGCAGAGAACAGAAAAAAATTCGTTGCAGTTCCGCATATCGGCCACACGGGGGCAGCACTGAGA